TTAGAATGGCTGCACCTTATTTTGTGTAGTGAAATCACAGTACTTTGAGACAGGCAGAGTGGAAAGAAAAGCCACAGGAAAGGAGGCAACAGAGCACACTGGATCTAGCACTAAGATATGTGGTACTAATGGAGAGTTGGGGTGGAGCTGCTATGTATAAACTGCACAGACCCCTCCATGAAGGAGTCCAACTCTGGTTACATAAATATGGGTTTCTCTCTCCAGCTGGGTGCCTTGGACACCCTTCTTCAGGGATCTCTGACCTGGTATTGCTAGCTCATGCCTAGTCAATATAATAAGGTGAGGGTGGAGAAGGAAGGAGCAGTTCCCAGACTCTACAGGAGTTGAGGCAGGAGGGAATGAACTACCAGGTAAGGATGGACTGGAGACTACCTAAGAGCCCCTGTGGTTCCCCATTCACAGATACAAGTTTTGCTAGTTATCTAAGTTGAAAGAAATTAAGCACTAAACCCTGGAACTACAGAGTAAAGAAGTAAGCAGTAACTCCAGAACTGTTGCTTTCATTGTGTATTTTCAATAATATTCTGATATGCTGCTCTAGTCTGAAAAGGGACATGAATTCTAATGCCTTTTTGTGACTTTTTTCACAAGCACAAACAAGTTTAATGTTGAATCTCCACCTTTGGTGTTTGGTTCCCAGAGTGCATTTGTAAGTCTGTCTTCTTTCTGACTTTTGCCCTTTCTTTCTAGAAGTTGGCTGGCATCTGACCCACCATGACACCCACAGAACTCACAGTGAGTATAGCCATGACCTCAGGTGCCTCAAAAACACCTACTCATACTTTTCAGTCTTCCCTGCATGGGGAAGGAATCCTGTGTGGTGCTCTAGGGTAAGATCTCTGTCAGCAGTGCCCATCACTATGTGGGGTATTCCTGGTCACATCCATTCTCTTTATGGATGCAGAGTCAGTGTTGGGAGAGGCAGGCTGTGAAGACATTAAATTTTAGATTTTATTAATAGCTGAGGGGTTTTGTGGTCTTTGACTAGGATGGGTTTTTTCCCATGTGTGTTCTGAAGCTCACACAAAAGAAAGCAAATGAGAACCTACTTGATTTGTTAATAGAAGCCCTGTGGTAGGTTCTCCTTCATTCATAAAATCACACAGCCCTTTCAAAAGCATACAAAGGTATTTCTCTGAGAGGCCAAGAACTGAACCAAGTTTAGCAGGTCAAATCATTATCTAGATTAAAAAAAATAGCACAAAATGTAATTAAGTATAGGATGAATTAATTATAGAATCAAATCTATTCAAAGCACCTTACAGCATTTTTCTTCTGTAAAAGGGAAAATGTAAATTTTATATATAGATAATTGAAACCAAGCTTCCTTAGTGGGGCTAACAAATTTTCCTTCAAAATACCTTGTAGGTTTTCAAGGCTTACAGAATGGGGCAGCTGAATTAGGTTGTCAACAAAATTATCTACAACACACCAATATGTCCTTAGCATTGTCTGGGAATATTTATATGGTTGCACATATTGTTAATTTGATCCCTGTAAGGTGAGGAGGCAACCCTAATTTTAATCCTCAGTAGTAGAATTTGGCTCCTGGGCTCTGAGGCTGAGGGACCAATGATGAGCAGGTTGCTTCTGATATATCCATCACTTGGTTTTCTCATTTGGGATTTTGGAAAATAGCCAAACTTGAAAAGGCAACCCAGATAAAAGAAGTGCCTCTTTACAGTGATGACCCTCCATGGTCAGAGAAGTCCTGATGGACCACAGGAGCCAGGTGGATTTCAGTGAGACTGGGGTTCCCACACTGAATGTACTGCCTATGAAATCCTGATCTTACCTCTCTGAGGACATTACCACTCAGATGCCACATATGCTGCAAGCCCCTATTACTGACCAGCAAGCTGAGACTGAGAGAGTTGATGGAGGATTCGAGATCTCAAGCAAATTGGAGGAGCAGATGAGAGACGTAGGCATTTTAATCCTAGCCTAACAAAAGCCTGGCTCCCTGTGCCTCTTTCGAATATGTTGTTCTCTTTAGGAGTGCTGGGGAAATCTGGATGGCCTAGGGACCCAGGCTGTTGGTCATTCCTCTTTGTATTCTAGCATCTGCAGGAGGCTTTCAGCTCTTTCTCTGTGTTTGCTCAGGGACCCACCTTTCCCATTTTACTCAACTTCATGGATCCTCCAGGGCACCAGTTCCTTCCCCATGCTTCTCACCAGAGACCAGACCACCTCTTGAGCTGACCCCTCTCTCATGTACCTTTCCTCCTTCTTCCTTCCTTCTTTTGACCCCTTACTCATTCTGCCATTAATATCTGCCTCTGTCCTGGGATACTGCATTTGTGAACCTGTGTGCCCTGGAGAAATTTCCTCCTCCATGGCCTGTGTGGAGGGGTTTGCTATTTGCTTCCAAGCTTTGGGACAATTTAAGAGTCTAATAAAGCTATTTTAAAACACCAAAACAAACAAACAAAACCAAAACAAGTAAGAAAACTAAAATCCTAAACAACAAAACTCTACAAAAACATTTGACATCATTCTGTATGGACTATCAATTATCCTTACTCATCTTCATAGTTTAACTGACATTCTTCTAAAATGTTATCCTCCTACCTGCTCTCATAGTTTATTTTATCCCCAAAGCTCTTCTTTCTCTCAAAGTCCACTCAGGAACTTCATCTGGCTTTCTGAGGGAGCTGAGATTTTTTACCTAGTCCCATGCCCAGTGTTAGCAAAGACTTTTCTGGCACTAGACATAGGTCCTTTTGATGCTGGGTTTTCAGATGACTGCATGGAGACAAGTTAAATTTAAATTTGGAATTTGTGTCCCAGACACGGGGACCAATATATATAAAACAGAGAGAGGAGCTTTGCTCAGCTTTTCACAAGGAGCTCTTAAGAGGACACCTATGAAGTTCTCCTGCCATTTCCTGCCAGCCAGCCAAGTAGGTTGGACTTAGCAGTGTGAGCTTCATAATTCTGCATCAACCTCTTCTTATCTACTGCTTTTAATCAGCTGATTTAGTATGTCCTGGTATCTAATAAGAACCAAATATACATGTGTGCATATGTATGTGTGCATGCACACATACACAGAAATTATTACTCCATATTCAAATATTCAAGGAAACATTGCTAAGGAAAAATTTAAAGGACATCTCAAGAGCCTTTTATTGTGCAATTAAAATTAAAAAAAGTTCTGTAGGACTTTTTCAGAGATTAATCCACTTGGGATAATTGTGACTATCAAAGATGAAAATGCAATATTCAGATTCTCCAATATTTAACAACTGCATAGTTTAGGAAAGGCTGATTGGTCATCAGAAGCATATGTGAGCTATACAGACAAAGGTAACACAGAAAGCAGAGGAATTTTATTATTCAATATGAGTATTTAAGTACATAAAAACCAATTGTACTTACATATTTACTAATATTAACTACCTAAAGCAAAACAAAACCCTCACAGATATTATGTCTATTTCAATACAGACAAATGACTTGAAAAATTATTACACTTATCTCAAGGAAAAGAAATGCTGTGAGATTGTCCTCTCACAAAAGAAATGCAGAGAATGTCCCTCAGGGCAAGACACTGATGGCTAAGAGTCTGTGAAATTATAAAGCCCAATGGGAGCCCCAAAGAGAGGCTGTTAGGAGGTGAGATCATGTGGGTGTGGAATGGAGGCTTCAACAATTCAACAGTTATCATGCTTTGGACCTGTCACTCTCCTATATCTGCTATCTGCCTGTCCAGATTTCATTCATCCCTCTCCTTTAGCAGTTGTACCCACAGGAAGTACAATGACACGTAAACATATGTATAGATATGTTTATGTATGTGTACTTGTGTAAATGAGTGTGTAGATGTTCATGTGGGCAGGAGGGTGGGCCTGTTTATGCATATGAGAGTGAGCAAGTACATGTGTGCCCCCTGTGTGTGACTGTGTGTGCCTGTCAGAACCAGTGCCTTGGGTGTGTGACCCTTGTGGTCACACAGGGGTCATGGATTTAATAATGTCCAAACTTGGGGCTGGAGAGATGGTTCAGAGGTTAAGAGCACTGGCTGCTTGCTCTTCCAGGGGTCCTGAGTTCAATTCCCAACAACCACATGGTGGTTCATTACCATCTATAATGAGCTCTGGGGCCCTCTTATGGCATGCAGGCAGAACACTGTATACATAATAAATAAATCTAAACAAACAAACAAACAAAAGAATGTTCATACTTGACTTAATGCTCACTATCTTGAAATTTTTAATTTTTTTTTCAGCAAGGGTCCTTGGAAATTCTACAGCATTTGCATTTATGTGTGTAGTTGAGAGTGTCACCATGTGTATGTGCAAATGCATGTGTACAGATAAGTGCTGTGTTGCATGTTTACTTCTGGGGCTCTCAGGAAACTCAGAGGTACCATGACTCCAGTAGGTTTAAGAGATCCTGGTGATTTTTATATTTGCAAATGTTGAACAGTTGGGGAAAAGGACTGTCACATGTCACAGTCACTCACACAGTTCAAGTAAGTGCCCATTTGTGGTCCCAAAGTTCTCTTTTCCATCATATCAGAATACTTGTCATCCACACTACAAGTGTTCATTTGCTTCTCTGTATCCTTCATTTATAAGTGTTAAGTTCTATGAAAGTAGAAACCAGACTCATTTACCTGGTATCTTTAGCAGTTAGCACAGTAACCAACTTAGAGATGGACAGTAAACATTTATTAAATAAACATTTCTTTCACTGGTAAATTTCTATTGTTTTAACAATACATCTTACACTGGTTTATATATAAAGAAATTCTTCTTCAGTTTACAGGTTAGGAGGCTGGAGGTCTCCCAGATTGGGCAGCCTCATCTGGTCAACCTCTGGTGCAGGTCTCCTTGTTATATCACAGTATGGCAGAAAGCAACATAAAAGGAAAAATACACAGTTATATGGCAAGACAGGAAGTCAGAGAGATTCGAGGGCAAGGATCTCCCTCTTTTATGACAACCTGCTACTGCAGCAACTGGGGTCCAAAAATAACTCATTAATGTCTTCCATGGTAGTGCCCCATTGCATAACCACCAGTAGGCCCCACCTCAAACCATGATAGTAGGTGATCAGTATTCCATAAACTGTACACACTCAAACCAAATGAAATCATAGCACAGTCTTCCTTCCAACACATACACTCTTTTTGCTTTATCACAGAGCTTTGGCACTTGGCATTTGATCAGGTTATTCTATACCATCAGATCAGACCACTCAAAAGTTATCCTTGATTGAGCACAATCTATATTCTTTACAGAGCCGTATTCCTGGTATGTTTGATGACTACAGCTATGACTCCACTGCTTCCACAGATGACTACATGAATTTCAACTTCAGTAGTAGCTTCTTCTGTAAGAAAAACAATGTCAGGCAGTTTGCGAGCCATTTCCTTCCACCTCTGTACTGGCTTGTGTTCATTGTGGGTACCCTGGGCAATAGCCTGGTTATCCTTGTCTACTGGTATTGCACAAGAGTGAAGACCATGACTGACATGTTCCTTTTGAATTTGGCAATTGCTGATCTGCTCTTTCTTGCTACTCTTCCCTTTTGGGCTATTGCTGCTGCTGGCCAGTGGACATTCCAGACCTTCCTGTGCAAGGTTGTGAACAGCATGTACAAGATGAACTTCTACAGCTGTGTGCTACTCATCATGTGTATCAGTGTGGACAGATACATTGCCATTGTACAGGCCATGAAGGCTCAGATCTGGAGGCAGAAAAGGCTGCTGTATAGCAAGATGGTCTGTATTAGTATCTGGGTGATGGCAGCTGTGCTCTGCACCCCAGAAATCCTGTACAGCCAAATCAGTGGGGAATCTGGCATTGCCATCTGTACCATGGTCTACCCTAAGGATAAGAATGCCAAGCTGAAATCAGCTGTCTTGATCTTGAAGGTCACCTTGGGGTTTTTCCTTCCCTTTATGGTCATGGCCTTCTGCTACACTATCATCATTCATACCCTGGTACAGGCCAAGAAGTCATCCAAGCACAAAGCCCTAAAGGTGACCATCACTGTCCTCACTGTCTTCATTATGTCTCAGTTCCCCTACAACTCCATTCTTGTAGTGCAGGCTGTTGATGCCTACACCATGTTTATCTCCAATTGCACTATTTCCACCAATATTGACATCTGCTTCCAGGTCACTCAGACCATTGCATTCTTCCACAGTTGCCTGAACCCAGTTCTCTATGTTTTTGTGGGTGAGAGATTCCGCCGGGATCTCATGAAGACCCTGAAGAACTTGGGATGCATTAGCCAGGCCCAGTGGGTTTCATTCACAAGAAGAGAGGGTAGTTTGAAGCTTTCTTCCATGCTACTGGAGACAACTTCGGGGGCTCTTTCCCTCTGAAAGAACTTCTCACTGAGACTGATGGTCCTTTTGGAAATAATGAGATACATAGACACAACATAGTCTCCTCACTGATAAGACTAAACAGAAAGCAAATAATATGTAAATGAGAAAACAAAACAAACTAGGATGAGCCTAAACAGCTTTATCAAACTCAGTCAGGATATGCCAAACAAAGTTTTCAAAACTGACTATACCAGAAGGGCACCAGCTGGTTTTAGGTTGTAGTAACTGCAATTCTTAGGAGGCTACTTGAGCAGCAGTGAGGGCACCCGAGCCATACACATTCTGACCATCAGTGCAGCTGGGTTCTTGAGTTTCTACAGTGCTCCACATTTCTGTTACTTCAGATCTGATGCTACTTCTCCCCAGAGGTAGCAGAGCATTGGCCACTGCCATAGTCCATAAAAGCAAGGCTTAGTGACATTTCCCACCTTGGTATATTTTCTCATTAGTCCCATTGGTGGGAAGACTGTGTTTGTATATCTCATTACTTACAGATTTTTAAATCTAGAATACACTCAAACAATCTGAGGTTGAATACCCTTCTGATTTCCTTGGTCCCTTCTGGGCCAAGGAGAACCATTGTTCCTATTTTGGAGCCATTTTTAAGACAGATTGGTTGGCCCATACACAGCTGACCACATCACAACATCAACTGTCTGTTGCTCTCAGCCTACTTCTGTGTCTTGCTGGAGATGCCATGTCCAAACCCAAGCTGCAGGCTCGATCTAGGAAGGGATCTAGCCTGTTTCCTGGTGTGATAAAGTGGCCCTCATAGACTAAGTCTGAAAATATATTTGGATGATGGGAACTTAGCATTTGCTCTGTTGGGACTTCTTCAGGGGAGAGGCACTTGCTGCAGGTTCTCCCATCTTCTCCCTGTCAGTGACATGCCCTTTCCTTCTGAGGCTTCCAGAAGGGTGTCTGCCTCCTGGCTGCCTTTCCTTACTCTGTAGTGCCAACAGCTTACAAAATTTTAACTTTAGAGAGATTAAGAAAAATATGTAATATAATTCACTTTCCACCTATGTTTTTAACTACTTGTCAAATTTCTCACATTGGAAAAAAATCATTGCATATCCTGGAAAAGTGCTTTATAATGTATATTTTAAAATGTTTATCATTTTCCATTTGTTTATAACCTTTCTTAATATTATATTTGTGGGCAATTAAATATCAGACAGAAATACAGTAATTGTAAAGGGTATGACTGTGGTAAACCTTTACTTGTTTGGATTGCCCATGTAACCAACTTTTACAACTTTGTATTCTTCTATACCCCTGACCTGAGTAATGCATGTATGATTGCATGTTTGTAATAATAATCATTTGCTGAAAACAACAAAAATAGAATATCCGCCATAAATTCTGAACACAACATATGGACTGTTAAACAATGATGTTTGCTGTATACTGTTTGTTATCTGGGTCAGTTGGAGTCTATGACCTTCCTTATAAAACTCTGTTATAGCCAGGTGGTGGTGGTGCACACCTTTAATCCCAACTTGGGAGGCAGAGCCAAGCAGATCTCTGTGAGTTTGAGGCCAGCCTGGTCTACAAAGTGAGATCCAGGATAGGCACCAAAACTACACAGAGAAAGTCTGTCTCGCAAAAACCAAAAATAAATAAATAAAAAATAAAACTCTGTTAAAAATTCCTATAAAGTATCCCTCATTACTTCCCCAAGATGATGCTTTCTATGCTGTTTAATAAATACAGAGCAAAATCCTTTACTGGGACAGACAGACACAACACACACACATACACACACACACACACACACACACACACACACACAAACACACACAGGAGTGGGTGAGGGAGGGAGGTTCAAAAGATAGTCTTCAGGCAGGCACAGATTCAGACTCATATCAGAGACAGGAGCGAAGAGAAAGGGAGAACAAAGAATTAAAATCTGAACCTGCTCTTGGTAAAATGACACCAAGGGGAAGGGCTTTGATTTCTTTCCTTAATGCACTGAAACATGGTGACTCAGAGTTTATTACAAATGCAATCAAACCAATGACACTGATGCATAATCAAAGAAGATTGTGGTTGGTTAAGTGTGGGAGCCCATTCTCGGGTTCCTCGTGGCTTTACCCAGCAGGTCCACATAGAGGATGATTAGGACCACAGGCCTGAGTGCAGGTGTCTGAGATGGTCTGCATTTGGCTGTGCTGGGGGAGGAGGTCTTTTGCTCCACCCCTTGGTGTCTCTATAAAAACCCTGGGGCAGAGACAGTCGGGGCCCTTTGGAATAGGTTCCAGGCCCTCTCGAGGCTATCCTTTATTTTCTATCTGTTTATCTCCACAATATTCTCGGCAATAAATTCTTCTATCTTATATTTCCTGCTGCTTGCACTCAAGAAAACTCTGGGGAGCTGTGGGGTTGGTGGGTAAATGCCCCACAGTTAAGGTACATACAAACAAGACACAAGGCTGTGGAAAGAGCATGTAGACAAAACTATGCCAGGAGTCTCAATTATTGTTGCACTAAATTTAGTGGCATAAACAACAGCCCTTTCCCTTTGCTGTTTTGTAGGTAAGGAATTTATGAAAGGACTCACTTGCATAGATCTAGCTTGGGGTATCTCATGCAGCTACAGTCAAATAAAGGTTAGGGCTTTGGCCACTTGAGGCTTGAATGGGAGGGCCAATCTAAAGTCAAAGGGAAGAATCTCTTACGAAAAGTGGGTCAAGTAAAACAACATTATTGCCATGTTTCTTTAAAAAATTAATTATTTGGGATTTTCATACAACATATTTTGATCACATCATCTCCACTCCTCCAACTCCTCCCAGATCCACTCCCACCTCTATTACCCTCCACCCCAGCTTCATACTGTCTTTTTTAAAAAAATAAACCACAGACTCCAACTTGTGCTGCCCATTTGCTCTAGGTGTGGGGTCACCCACTCGAGCATTACTGACAAACTAGGAGCCACATCCTTAAGGAAAACAGACTCTCTCTCCCCCAGAAGTCACCAATTGCCCAGCTTCTTAGTTGGGGTAGGGTCCTAAGTCATGAATCCTTTCCCACTCTATGCTAGAATGTTGCTTGTTGATTCTGTGCAGGTCTTACGCAGACAATTACAGCTGCTATGAGTTCATGAGTGCACTGATTCTGTCATATCCAGAAGACACTGTTTTGCTTTGGTCCTCTGCAATCTCTGACTCTTACAGTCTTTCCTCTTTATCTTTTGAGATGATCCTTGTGTGATCCACCAATATATTGTGCACCCTAATAAACTTATCTGGGGTCAGAGAACAGAACAGCCACTAGATAGACATAGAGGCCAGAAAATGGTGGCACACACACCTTTAATTCTAGCCTTCTGGAGGCAGAGATCCATCTGGATCTCTGTGAGTTCAAAGTCACACTGGAAACAACCAGGCATGGTGACACACACCTTTAATCCCAGCACTTGAGATCTCATGTCTTGCTTGGGAAAGACACATGCCTTTAATCTCAGGAAGTTATAGCAGGAAGCAGAATGGTATATTAAGGTGTGAAGACCAGGAACTAGAAGCTTTTAAGCTTTTAGGCTTTTAGCAGCAGTTCAGCTGAGATCCCTTCAGTTGAGGACTCACGAGGCTTTCAGTCTGAGGAAACAAGATCAGCTGAGGAATTGGTAAGGTGAGGTCGGATATGGCTTGTTCTGTTTCTCTAATTTTTCAGCATTCACCCTAATATCTGGCTCCCATTTTTTTTATTAATAAGACCCTCTAAGATTCATGTTACATCCCTGAGCCTTGAGGGAGGGGGGTGATATAGATACCCCTTTTATGGTGGAGCACTCCACTGATACTCTGTATTTTGACCAGTAGTTTCTGCATTAACCACCATTCAATGCACAGAGAAAATTTTCTGATGAAGTCTGAGAGCTGCACTAGCCCATGGGTAGGGAGACATGAATTTAGAGGCCAGTTTGAAACTGTCCATTTAGCAGAATAATAGTGATAGGCTCACCCCTGAGGCCTGTGAGCTCCCAAAATATAGGTCCTTGGCCAGACTTACAGGACCAGACATATGCTTCTTCTTGTAAAGTGGGCCTTAAATCTAATCAGAAAGTAGTTGGTTACCATAGTATTTGTGCCAATACTGCATTTACAGAAATATATTGTCATTATTGCAGTTCATAACGTTCGCAGATGGGTAAGACTTGATGACTCTCTGTCCCTGGTTCCCCTCTCCTACTCTGCATAACCTCCAAAGAACCTTTCAATACTATGAGAAGTAATGGACATATTTTAAAATTATCGCATGCTAACTTACTTACTGACTTCAATACTTGTGTTTCCCAAATTGTTCATCCACTAATGCAAAGAAAGAGACAGAAGCATGGAGAGGGGGCTAGTAGGTGTAGTTTTTTTTTTTAAATAAAGTAATAATAGCTGTCATATTTCGGCACAGAGTGGCTCGGTTACTTATTCCAAGACATAGTGAGTACCAGAAGATCAATTTACACCTTTGTGATACTTGACCTTGTGGAGACTCTATTGCACTTTATCCTGGAAGAAGTGCTTTTAAAAAGCACTTAGCTCTTCTGGTCAGTTTACAGTATACCCATCAGTGGGGTGTAGCTCTCTTACCATACAGGCCCTGAGTCAGAAGAACAGGATGGTTCTATGTGGACTATTCCATAAGAAAGAGAGCAGGAACCTTACTGAGTTTCTTCATGCTGTCAAGCTTGCTGAGTAAGTGACCCCCTTGGGAATGTAGAGACATTAATAGCTGGGTCTTGCATTTAAGTCCTTATTCCATTTTGAACTGATTTTGTATATGGTAAGAGATGATTTTTGCTGGTGGCCATGTCAGAGGAACAGCAGGTGGCAATTGAAATTCAAGGTGTCAGCCCACCAGGAGGCAAATTCCGGATGGGTGACTCTTGGAAAGGCAAGGTCCTGAGACTACAGACCCTAGAATGTCTTTTGCTTCTGCTGTGCCTTTACATGTTTGCTGCTACCATTTTTCTCTGGTATCTGGCATGGTGTCAATGG